CGCTTAACCAACTGAACCACCCAGGCGCCCAAGACTCTTAATAATAAGAAACAAATCGAGGGTTGCTGGAGTGGAGGGGAGTGTGGGGATGGGGTAACAAGGTGATAGACATTAAGGAGGGCACGTGATATAATGAGCACTGGGTATTATATAAGATAAATACTGACCTCTACCTTTGAAGCCAGTAACACTTAATTACATGTGAATTAACTGAATTTAAATTAAAAATAAATTTAAAAAATAAAATATATAGAATTAAAAAGAAAAGAAGATAAAGATAATAAATAAAAGCAGCCAGAGAAAGCAAACACATCACAAACAGGAGAACCATGATAGGAATTACTACTGACTTCTCATTAGAAATAGAGGTCAAAAGCCAATAGGATGACATTTTTAAAGGACTAAAAGATAATACGTAAAGTGTTTCAGTGTTTAGACCCATGCCTGACACATAGTAAGCACTAAATAAATTTTAGTAGTTGTTTAAAAAAAGAAAAATTCTAGAAATAAAAAATACAATAATTGAAATTAAAGATTTATTAGATGGGTTTAAGGAAAACTGAATATTGCAAAAGACTCAGTGAACTTAAAAACAAATAAATACAATTAATCCAAACTCAAGGACAGAGAAGGAAAAAAAAATAAAGATCCACTGACATGTGGAACATAGCTAGAAATCCAGCATATGTGTAATTGGAATTCCAAAGGACAGAAGAGAATGAATAATATAGAAAAAATAAGTGAAGAAATAATGGCTGAAAAGTTCTCAGATTTGGGGGAAAAAAACCCAACTCTATTAACTTATGGACCCAAGAAGTTAGCAAACATCAAGCAGGATAAATATAAAGGTATCCAAATCTAGGCAGATCATAGTCAAATTGCTAAAAACATCCAGAGAGAAAAAGACACATCACACATATAGGGAATAATGATAAAAATTATGGTTGTCTTTTTATTAAAGACAACAGATGTCACAAGACAATGGCACAACATCTTTAAAGAAAAAAATCTTGAGGGGCCCCTGTGTGGCTCAATCAGTTAAGTGTCTGACTCTTGGTTTCAGCTCGGGTCATGGTCTCAGGGTCCCGAGATTGAGCCCTGTGTTGGGCCCCCCTCTCAGCAGGCAGTCTGCTTTCCCTCTCTCTCTCTGCCCCTCCCCCAACTTGTGCACACACACTCTCTTTCTAAAATAAATAAGTAAATCTTTAAAAAAAATCTTTAGAAGAAAAAAATATGACCCCAGAATTTTTTCCCCCCAGTTATTTAGGGACTTCCCTCTCCTACAGCTACAGATCTGGAAACCATTTTGTCTTCTTACTCTTTCAGGACTAGGAGAAACAATAATTTTGCTCTGTTGACAGTCCTAGGTTGCTTTGCCACCCCTTGTTAGTCTCCCTTAATTCTATCCACACTTTGGTAAGTGATACTTTCATTAAACTTTCTTAAATTACTCCAAGTATGCCATCCAGTTCTTGACAAGACCCTGACTGACTCACCTTAACTATTTTAATATTTTATCAGATCTTATTTAAGTTGTGTGTGGAAGTTCTAAGGCAGGTTAGCCATGCAAATATTTGAAATTAAATTTAAAAAAAATCAGAGATGCTTGTCTTTAACTTTGTTGTTAAAAATATGTGAGTATATGATTTCTACAATTGTTTACTGTATAGGAAACAATCCTTGTAAATTTTTCTGTTTTGCCAGCCCTTTAATTGTGCAGGAGTCCCATACTTCCTTACAATGGTGCTTTAGGAGCAACACAGTTTAGGATATAGGCTGAAACATCTATGTTTGATTATTTGCATTCTATCATAAAGCAGATATGAGATTTTGCATTACTAGAGTTCTCAAAGTACAAATATTGATCCTGACTGTTAAGAACACTTTCCTGAGATATCATCTTAGATGTTACTTACAGTGTGGGGTATTTCCCCCTTTAAAAGATGCAGTCTCAAGAAAGTATCAAACTGGCATGAAATAAAAAGACAATCATCTGAAAGATTTCATGAATGTGACCTATCAATAGAGAGGCAATAATAGTTGTAGAACACTACACTGGATTTATCTTTGAAAACTGATACGAAGCATAATTCCTTCTAAATATAACTCTCCATTGTAGTGGGCAATACATTTTATTTTAAAGTAACTTTGCATAAACTGCAGTACACCTTCAAGAATATAATTAGCACTAAATCCACATATGAATCAGTCTGTAACCAAACATCTTGATGGAAACAGGGACTTCCTGGTAATGTGCAGTTTCCATTATAAACAGCAAAACAAATGTAATTAAGGGATGAATCTAGGTACCAAATTATATTTTATAGCAATGTGTCTCATTATGTACCCACCATCTTCAGCTAGATAAACTACAGTATCTTCCTTGGAGTTTGGATAAAGGGGTTCCATCTCTAGGCCTGTTGGGGTGTACACTGGCTCAAGATAAGAAGGAGTCCAATCTGGAAAAAAAAAAGATAAAACTTTATTTGAATACTACTTCAGAATAAAACGGGAAATTTTTATTGTATATTTTCAAGTCATTCATTGGTATATCTAGGTTAAAATTTAATGTTTTATGCAGGGCTTAACTATCCAGGCTTTCTCTCTTTCAACTATCCAGCAAGCTAGCTATGGATTGTTCCATGGTAGCTGGGCAGGGTTTAAGAGAAAGCAGAAGTACACAAAGACTTTTGAGACCTAGGTCAACACTGACATGCTATTGCTTATGCCATAACTGGTTTTGCTAAAGCAAGTCACAGACCATCCCATTTCAGGGGGTGGGGAAAAGAGAACACCTCTTGATAGAAGGGAACGCAAGATGACATTACAAAGGGTGAAGATACATGGATGAAGAATTGTGGCTGTTTTTTAAATTTAGTAAAATTTACATATATATAATGCAATGTACAGATCTGAATTGTATGTTCAATGAGTTCTAACAAATACATAGATGTATATTTTCTTTTATTAAAAAGAAAAATTGCTGAACCTTTTCTCAGAGTGGTTGTACAATTTTACATTCATACCAACAATGCATTAAGAGTTCCAGTTGTGGACTCAGAAACAGAGGGGATTTTTTTGTGGGGGCGGGAAATGGGTTAGCCTGGTGATGGGTATTAAGGAGGGCACGTATTGCATGGAGCACCGGGTGTTATACGCAAACAATGAATCATGGAACACTACATCAAAAACTATTGATGTACTGTGTGACTAACATAACCAAAAAGATAAATAAATAAAAAGCAAGCTAATAAAAGAAGAGTTCCAGTTGTTCTACATTCTAATATTTGGAGCTTTCAGCCTTTAAAATTTTTAAAAATTTTGCCATTCTAGTGTAAGGTGGTATCTGTGATTTTCATTTTCCTTTCCCATGTTTAACACTTTTGCACATTAGCCATTATATGTCTTCCTTTGAGCAATGTCTGTTCAACTCTTTTGCCCATTTTTAATTAGTTTTCTTTTTATTATTGGTTTGTAGGAATTCTTCCTATAGTTTGCATATAAATTCTTCATCAGATATGTGCTGGGAATATCAGACTGCGGCTTGCCTTTTCATTTTGTTAATTGTGTCTTTTGGTGAGAAATTTAAAATTTTGATGAAGTCAAATTTATTTTCATTCTTTTTTCTTTCTGGGTTCTCTCTAGAACGGTTTTTATCCTATGATTATGAAGATATTGTCCTATGTTTTCTTCAAGGAGCATTATGAATTTTTATGTTTAGTCCTGTGATCTATCTTGAATTTTGTGTGTGCTGAGAGGGGTAGAGGTCAAGATTTATTTTTCCTCTACATGGACACTAGGTTGTTACAGTACCAATTATTAAAAAGACTTATCCCCACCGGATTGCTCTGGTGACTTTATTAAAAATAATTTGGTCTTAAATGTGCTAGTCTATTTCCAGATTCTATTCTGAAACACTGTTTTGCCAATTATTTGTGCTCATTCTACCCATAACTCACATGGTCAGAAATAAACCAAATGTTTAAACAAAATGTTTATGAGGAACTATACTTATGAGAAATACAAAACCAAAGAAGTATAGCTCTGTGCTTTATTACAAAGCATATAGCATTTAGATCAAGATTACATTGCCAGCCCCTCAGATGCCCCACTCATACCCCCTTCTAATCACTCGTTCCTCCTTCCCCTTGAACTATAACCGTTAACCTTACCATAACATAATCGCTTCAACTGCCTTTATAATTTTATAATCTGAGTATTCATACATGTGTGTGCATAAATATATCTACATAAGATATGAAACTATAGCTGTTTTGCCTATTTTTGTACTTACGTAAGTTGAATTACATAATACAGTCTTTTTTCACATATTTGTGAAATCAATCCATCTTGTGGCGTGTTACTGTAATTTTTTTTATTGCCATAGAATATGTTATTACATAAAAATGCTACAATCTATTTATCCACTTCTATTTATAATAGGCATTCAGGTTGTTTCAGGTTGAGGCCATTATGAACAATGGTTCTATGAAAAGCTTTATACACGTTCCTTGGAACACATGTGCCCACATTTCTCTTGGTTATAGATCCTGAGGTAGGAATTCTAAATTTTAGGACATACATGGCTTCAATTTTAGTGGACAATGCAAAGCTGTCAACCAATGTATACAGCCATCAGCAGGTTATGCTCCACACTGTCATCATTGCTTACTGCTGAGTTGAAGTTAAAATGTAAAATGTAGGGCGCCTGGGTGGCTCAGTCATTAAGCATCTGCCTTCGGCTCAGGTCATGATCCCAGGGTGCTGGGATCGGGTCCCACATCGGGCTCCCTGCTCAGCGGGAGACCTGCTTCTCCCTCTCCCACTCCCCCTGCTTGTGTTCCTGCTCTCGCTGTGTCTCTCTCTGTCAAATAAATAAATAAAATCTTTAAATAAAATAAAATGTAAAATGTAGTCTCCTCTGATTTCCATGAAACAGTACTCATCCACTGATGGATATTTGGATTGTTTCCTTTTGGCTATTAGAATAATGGTACTATATTAACATTTACATATAAGCTTTTTGGGGGGCATATGTTTAATTTCTCATCAACACGTGTTACCAGATTTTCATTCTAGTTATTCCAGTGGGTGTAAAGTGGTATTTCAATGTGGTATTTATCTGCATTTCCCAAATGACTAAAGATGCTGAATATCTTTTCATGTGTTTATTGGCCATGTTTATCTTTAGAGAAATGTCTTGGCAAAAGTAGCCTAGAAAATGGAAAATTTTTAAAAAGAATATAAAGTAATGGTGTGAACTAAGTTTATCACATAAAATTTATTTTAAAGCTTTAAGCTTTAAAATTCATGCCATCATATGAATAGACAAGTTAATGGAATAGAGTAAAATTCAAAATTAGACCTAGAAGTTTAGCATTTATAATTGTGGCATTTCTAATCACTTTACAGAAAATAATTTAACAATTTTTTAAACAACTGGCTAGATGGTTAACAGAACTGGATTGAGAGCTTGCTTCTTGCATCAGAATGGATTGCTGATGGGTGAAAACTTTAATCACAAAAAAAATACAACTTGAATAGAACTAAGAGAAACATGAGGGGTGCCTGGGTGGCTCAGTGGGTTAAGCGTCTGCCTTTGGCTCAGGTCATGATCCCAGTGGGATCAAGCCCTGCATCAGGCTCCCTGCTCCACGGGAAGCCTGCTTCTCCCTCTCCCACTCCCCCTGCCTGTGTTCCCTCTCACTGTGTCTCTGTCAAATAAATAAATAAAATCTTAAAAAAAAAAAGAGAGAAACATAAGAACTTCAAAACCCGGAAGCCACAGAAAAATGATAAAGTGATTACATAAAAATTATAAATTGCTGCATGCTAAAGACAAAAGGCAAATGACAAACTGAAAAAAATTATGCAACATATGACAAAGCCGATCTTCTGACTACATAGAGAACACTTACAGATCAAGAAGAAACAAAAAGTACAACCAATAATAAAATGGGCAAAGGATTTTATCAGACAGTTGATATAAAAAGCCAATAAACACACCTGTTAGCCACTTGTATATCTTCTTTGGAGAAATGCCTATTCAAGTCCTCAGCCTGTTTTTAAATTTAGTTATGACTGTTTTTGTTACTGAGTTATAGAAATTCTTCATGAATTTTAGAGATTAACCCCTTATCATATATGCAGTTTGCCAATATTTTCCTGTCCCATACATTGTTTTTGAACTGTGCTAATTGTTTCCTTTGTCACACAGAGCTTTTTAGTTTGATGTAGTCCCACTTGGTCTATTTTTGCTTTTGCTGTCTGTACTTTTGGTGTCATATCCATGATATCATCAACAATAGCAAGGTCATGAAGCTTTTCCCATATATTTTCTTCTAGGAGTTTTACAGATTGTCTTATGTTTAAGTCTTTAATCCATTAGCCATTTTGATTTTTTTTTTTTAATATGGTGTAAGATGGCAGGGGTCCATCTTCATTCTTTTGCATGTGGATATCCAATTTTCTCAACATTTGTTGAAGGGATCATTGTATGTTCTTGGTAGTCTTTTCAAAGATCAGCTGACTATATACACATGGATTTATTTCTGGGCTCTCTATTCTGTTCCAGTGGCCTCTCATGTCTGTCTTTATGCCAGTACCATACTGTTCTGACTACTCTAGCTTTGTAATACATTTTGAAATCAAAAAGTGTGATGTCTCCAGCTTTGTTCTTCTTTCTGAAGATTGATTTGGCTATCTGTGGCCTTTTGTGTTCCATCTGACTTTTAGAGTTGTTTTTTATTTCTCCGAAAACACCACTGGGATTTTGATAGGGATTGCATTGTTAACACCACTGAGCTTCAGGAAAATGAAAATCAAAGCCACAGGGAGGTATCATTTCACACCTATTATGATGGCCATTATCCAAACACAAAAGACAAATGTTGGCAAGGAAGTGGAGAAACTGGAACCCCTGTACACTGTTGGTGGGAATAAAAAATAGTACAACCACTGTGGAAAGCAGTGTAGAAGTTCCTCAAAAAATTAAAAATAGAACTACCACATTATCCAGCCATCCAGCCACTGGGTATTTACCCAAAAGAAGTGAAATGAGGATCTTGAAGATATATTAGATATTAGCACTCCCACATTCACTGCAGTACTATTCACAATAGCTAAGATGTGGAAACAATCTGAATGTCCACTGATGGATAAATGATACAAAGAGAATGTGCTACACACACACACACACACACACAGGGAGAGGGAGGGAGGGAGAGAGGGAGAGAAATATTTTTCAGTTTAAAAAAAAGAAATCTTGCAATATGCAACAACATGGATGAACCCTGAGGACATCATGCTGAATGAAATAAGTCAGTCACAGAAGGACAAATACTACATGATTCCACTTATACAAAGTATCTAAAATAGTCAAACTCATAGAATCAGAAAGTGGAACAGTGGTTGCTAGAAGCAAGTGGGAGGGGAAAATGGGGAGCTACTAATCAACACATTTAAAGCTTCGATAATGCTGACGAGTAAGCTCTGTAACAACTTTGTGCCTCTAGTTAACAATACTGTATTGCACGCTTAAAAATCTGCTGAGGGTAGACCTCGTGTTAAGTACTCTTACCATAATAAATATAAAAACTAAAACAGTCAATATATATATATGTAAAGATGTTCAAGGTCACTCATAAAGAATATATAAACTAAAATGCAAAATATATAAAACAAATGATATCAGACTGTTGAAAATCAGACAAGTAACTAAACAGTGTTTATGAGTGTATGGGGAAAATAGGCCCTCTCATTGTGTAGTAAAGGATTAACTCAGCAGGCCTGGGTTGTCCAAATTCTGTATACAACAAGAAAGCTTTCACCCTTGTTAAACTCCTAGAAGATAACTTCTCAGACTTTGGAATATCCTGCTTGATGAGAGTCTGTCTGTCTACTTGGGGCTTTGGGTCATACCAGATAATTTATGCCAACAATGTGACTTATGGTAGAGGGACTTACACCACATGCTATCAATTTTAACAGGAAAGGCTAGAGACTGAGTAACTAAGGTCAGCCATATGAGTACTCCATAGAGATATGACCAGCCCCTAAAAGAAACCATAGATCCCAAAGCTTGGATGAGCTTTCCTGATTGGCAATACTTCATATGTGTTATCTCACGTCATGGCTGGGAGTATTAAACACTGTCCATAAGACTCCACTGGGAGGGGACAACTGGAAGCTTGTGTCTGATCTCTCCTGGACTCTATGTTCCTTTTACCTTTGCTGATTTTAATCTGTATCATTTCAATGTAATAAACAATAGCCATGAGTATAACAGCTTTTGTAAATTTTTTTTGAGTTCTGGGAGTCCTTCTATAATCATTCAACCTGAGGGTAATCTTGAAGACCACCAACCACGCTCATACAAACTTATGACTATACATTGTTACAGCTCCTTTTGAAGGGCAATTTGGCAGTATCCTTTTAACTAGAAACTCCAGGAATTTACTCTACAACTAGACACACACACACACACACGGACACATATAAAAGAATGTTCATGAAGTTCTGTTTGTCAGAGCCAAAGACAGGAAACATCTAAAACTCATTAATAAGGCACCAGTTAAAGTATTGTTTATTCACTGAATTAAATCTAATGAACCAATTTATTTAAAAAAGAAATTGGTATATATGAGCTCATATGGAAAGACTTTCAAGATATATGGTTGTGTAGGATAGTGTTCATTTATAGCTGACTGGAAAAGCTCTATTTTTATAGCTGGGAAAGTCTGGATATCTAGCTTTGACAGCTGGCCAAGATAAGGACAGTAAGATTTATAATGTGCTATTTAGAGTCTGAATCTCCCCTGGTACCCATCATGGGCAGTTTGTTTACTGATGGTTTTTCATTTGGCAGAATCAGACAGCCTGACTTGACCATATGACCAGGGGGGCATAAACACCCAGCTGAGAACTTTTGACTTGAAGTCTTCTGAAGCATGTGTGTATATATGTGTGTGTATACATACATATATATAGAGAGAGAGAGAGAGAAGGGGAAAGAGGGAGAGAGGCACTTCTCCCTTCCCCTCTTTCTCTATACACTAGATAATATAAAGAGAAAACGAATGCCTAAGTAGCATCTAATTTAAGTAAGCGATATAGTAAGTATAGACAGTTACAGTAACTATAGCCAGTTTTTAATTTTATTCACCAGTGAATGTCTATTAAGATCTCTACATAATGGCAATAATGGATGTGCTATCATCAACCCAAGGTGAAAAACAGTGGCAGTGAGGAGGTAATGAATAATGGAAATGTTCCTATTATTCAGGTGTGAGGACTGGGAAGATAAGGCTGCAAAACACTGAATGAAAACAAAATTTGGGACTGCATATACAGAAACATAAAAATATTCACTAAAATATGTCCTCTTTGGGTCCATAAAACATACATTAAGGGAAAGAAGCAGAAAGAGGGAAGGAGAGAAAAAAAGACAAAGGGGCACAAAGATAAAAAAAAAAAATAAGAGAGGAAGAGAAGTGGAAAAAAAGGGAGAAAGAGAGGATACAGATACACAGAGGAGAAAAAAGATATTTGGGGGGGGCGGGCGGGGAGCAAGAGATATGGAGAAAAAAGGAGCAAGACCGCAGAGCCATCTGGCACACCCTCTGTCCATGACCTCACTTTATGTAAGAGTTGGAACGTGACTGGAACAGTCATGCTATTTCAAATTGTTCAGAATTACAAAATTCTGGCACATGTTTTACGTCCCCCTTTTAAGCACATGTGGCTTCTGAACACTTGAAATGTGGCTGATCTGAGCTAAAATGCAAGTGTAAATGCACACCAGATTTCATATGAAAAAAAAAGAATGCAAAATACTTTGGATAAATTTGGGTTAAATAAAATATATTTTTGAAATAAATTTCACTTGTTTCTTTTTCCTTTTTAAAATGTGGCCACTAGAAAATTTTAAATGATCCATATAGCTCATGTTATATTACTGTTAGAATGCAATATTCTAACACCGTGAGTCTCCTCATTAAAATTAAGGTTGGCAGAAGTTTGCTAATATTTGAATTCCAAAAACTGCTAAGAACATACCAATATGCTGGACCTTTTCATCAATGACCTCACAGTGGTACGGCCACCGTGTAGGGCTCAGCGGACCAGAAGAAGAGACACCATATAAATCTCGTGGTTCACGAAGACGTGGCACCCATCTCCCTAGCTGATATTCCAACAGTATCTGGGTAGTTCGGGGGAAAAATGGGTCACTAATAGAGTCAGCTGAAAAAAAGATTCAAACACAATCATGAGTGATAAGCAGCAAAACCCCAATTCCTATAATTTTTAAATATACTCCTTTTTCCCTTCCAATACCATTAATTTGTATTTATGGATATCATTTTATAATTCATGCCATTTTAAAAATAAATTTACTATTGAAATTTTGTAACAACTGATCTTCACAATAGCTAAAAAGTAGTTGTTGACCTCAGATACTATTAATTTATGCTAAATTTTCAATGCTACTCCAAAAACATTCGTTTCTTGCAGCTTTTCTAGAAAACTGTTTTTTGTTTTGTTTTGAGATTTTATTTATTTGAGAGACAGAGATAGCACGAGCTGGGGGAGGGACAGAGGGAAAGGGAGATGGACAAGCAGACTCCTGCTGAGCATGGAGCCTGATGCAGGGCTGGATCCCAGGACCCTGAGACTCAGGACCCTGGGATCATGACCTGAGCTGAAGTCAGATGCTTAACTGCCTGAGCCACCCAGGCACCTCTACTATAGTCTTCCTAAACTTAAACACATTGAGGCAACTCTTTGTCCAATGGGTTAAATACACCCCATGACCATAATTCCTCACCACCTACTAGCTCTATAGCCTCAAAGGTTGCTAGTGAACTCTCAGTCACAACTTCTTCTCAGTTCTCATTCTAGGTTCACTGTGTGACACAACCCCAAGAGCATAATACACATAGAATACAGTGGGGTTGCCCCACGCAGGTAGTGCAGAGGCCCTGTCTCTTTCAATGGGCTAGCTGCGGGGCATCAAATTGATGTGGATAATCTCCCCTCCCTAAGCTCATGTACCTTGTCTTTTATGATGCTACACTTTTCTGGTTTTCTCCCTACTTTTCACATACTTGGTTCTCCATTTGTCTCACTGACTCCTCTTGCTCTACCACCTCCGAAACGTGGCTTTTTACCTAGATTTAGTTTTGGGCTATTTTTGTACAGTAGCAGATATAGCAAGTTGGACTAGGAGTCAGACAAACTGAGTTCTATTCTCCCGCTTTGTTTCTATACGATTTTGCTTGGCTAATGCGGCCTCTTTGACCATAAATTTTACTGTATATGAATAAGGAATAATAACACCTTCCCTCACTACTTCTCAGGATTGTTATTTAGATCCAGTTATTCAACAGACTGTTACTAAGCATCTAGTATTTCATTATGTGAACAGACCACATTTTGTCTAATTTACGGTATGACTCAAAAATGGGAAGGCAGCTATGAATTAGAAAATAAAATTAGATCCATATCTCATATTATCCATACATGTAAATTATAGAGAAATTAAATACCAAAATTCAAAGTATTTAAACTTAGATGATTATATTGGTGACCTTGGGGTAGCAAAGCTTAAACAGATATAAAAATAAAGAGCCACAGATAAATGATAAATTTAACATCAAAATAATTCTAAATAATGGAAGCAACATGAAAAAAGGATTACTATGAACAGGCAATTCATTATAAGAGTGACTACAGACAAGCATATAAAATAATTCTCAATTTCTTCAGCAATAAAGGAAATGTTAGTGAAAACAGTGAGACACCTCCTTTCTTCCAACAGATTGGCAAAATTTTAAAAAGAAAAAAAGGATGGCAAGAAGTCCATAAACTAGTACTACAAATTTTCTATGAGTATGGGTATAGAAATGTGTATAAATGCAAAGAAAAAGGTCTAGAAGGATACATACCAAACTGAGAATAGTAGGTATCTCAAAAGATTTGTTTTAGGATGACGGTAAAAAAAAAAAAAAAAAGAAAAGAAAAGAAAAAGAGGAAAGAAGAAAAATTAAATCCTTATCTTCAATTTCAGATTACTTGTGATAGATATGTGAATACTAAGAAGAAATATTTTAGATATACACCAAAAAAACCCTCAATGTATACATTTAAAACAAATCAAGTATACATCAAGATTCCACATATATGTACATTTGCAAATGAATCACTTTATTAAGGAAACTATACAAGCAAACTTCATTTAAATAAAAATGTACTTCAAAAACAGTGTCCATTATAACTTGAGTCATACAGTAAATTTAAAGAGCTAGTTATTTAAAGAAATGCCTACGTAAATCCTTATGTTAAGTGTATTCCTTTATAAAGCAATGACTACTTTTATTTAGTTTCATTAAATATCAGGTTTACCTAAAACCTTAAAAGTTTGAGCTCCAAAAGATTCTTATAAAAGTGGATACATTTTCTTTCCTTATCCAATATCAGAATACACTTCTATACTATTCAATCTGAATTTTTTCTAGTTTCTTCATTTTCTTATTTTTCACTGACCCTGAGTGAATACTCAAGGTCTTATCCTAAAGAGAAAGGAGAATATATGGATAAGTTCAAACCTGTTAAAAGTGCACACCGGTGGCTATCTTCGCTTACAAATTTCATGAAGTTATCCTCATCCTAAAACAGGAGAGTTTTAAAATATTTTTAAAAAACCAACAGTTTCCACATCCAGAAATTTTTTACATCTATTTTAGTACTTAGAATTGAGCACTTCTTTCTATTCTGTAATGAATGAAAAAAATCAAAGATTATGGGCTACTGGTCTCAAAGTGCCCAATACTTCAAATATCCTGAAACCTTCAAGTTTTCATCCCCCTTCTTTCATTGGGTAAGGTCATATTAATGTCTATTTGGAGGGAATACAGTTTAAAAATTCTTGGAAACCTGGCAAGACAATTTAAACTTCAATAAAGTTAACAAAAAGAAAAAGAAAAGAAGCACAGAAAGCCATGGACTTAAAGAGTGATACATTATTTTAGGGAGCTTATTTTGGGACCTTAACTTATATACCTGATAATTTATATTTTACTAAAATCTGAAGGAAATCTCTCATATGTACTAGAACCAAACTATTTTGAAATACTGCATTTTGGGGCGCCTGGGTGGCTCAGTTGGTTGGACGACTGCCTTCGGCTCAGGTCATGATCCTGGAGTCCTGGGATCGAGTCCCACATCGGGCTCCCTGCTCAGCAGGGAGTCTGCTTCTCCCTCTGACCCTTTTCCCTCTCGTGCTCTCTATCTCTCATTCTCTCTCAAATAAATAAATAAAATCTTTAAAAAAAAAAAAAGAAATACTGCATTTCGTTTTTCCCTTTTTCTTCCTCCATGTCCTTTCCTTAGTTACATCAGAGCCACATTAAACCTATTATGGTGATACACAGGTTTAGAACATAGGGGATCCAGTATTATGATACATATTATAACAGAATACTTATAAGTGAACATGAATTATAAAAATAAAACCTTAGTAATGATTTAATACACACTGTTAAGTAAAACTCAGAAGAATCTTAGCCAAAATATTTTCTCAAAAATATCAGTATAGGTTCTCTTTCTAGATAAGGCATACTGCACATAGTAGTATCTTGGCTTTCAAATTATTTTCCAACTTCAGTGACAAGTGATTTAAACATCAATTGATTTTTACATCCAACTGATTTTATAATATTTTTACTAGGAATTTATAACACAAGTTTTATCTGAAATTACGTGGGATAAAGTTGAAAAAAAAACATACTGATTCATCACTGATCGTTCTGTCTGAATAGTCTTCCTTTTCTGAATCTTCTGGCATTTCTTCCAATATCTGACTTGAAATTTATTATGTAGGTAGGCTGTAAAACAATTTCTAAGCAACTTATTTGACAGTTTTCAGTTTAACTTGAAGGTGTTTATTACATTAAATGAGTAACCCGAGATATATCCAATTGTATTTAACAATGACAACAGGTTTCTCTAAAAGCTAAATTAATTAGGACACAGCTAATTAAACATTCAGCTTCAAAGATTTGAAGAAATTTTCCATTTCCATGAAAAAGACAAAAATCACAATAAAAGACTAATCAAGTAAATAATTTAATTGAAAAAAGAAATCTCCAGGCTACACAGCCAACTCATTTACATCCTGTATTTACATTACCGCAGGGCATAGCAAGTTCAGAACGATCCTGAGGCATTTAAAAAGATCACGAATCAAAGAAAAATTATAGTTACTTACTCAGGCAATGAAATCTAACAACATAGTTTAAATTTTTTTCTGCTTAATTTTCAATTGACCAAAAGCTCAAACGACTACAATACACTTTTCTCTTTATATTTTGGTTAATATTCTGTAGATACTGTCTCTGTTCTAATATTCAATTATTCTTACTTAAATCTCAATAGCTATCAGAAGGTTATATTGGCCATGACCACTACTCCTCCCATGCAAGCATCCTCCCAAGTGGTTATTAAGACAATGGAGTAACAGAAATTCCTTGCTAAGATTCTATTATTTTTGAGAGACCAAAGGAATTTGCCAATTTCCAGTCTATTGGTTTATGCTCCTCTCTACACAGAGCAAATAACTACTAATGCAAGAGAGAAGACCCCTCCAGTATTGAGACTTAAGTCTCAATCTGAGGATCACCACAATTCTAAATTTGGAAAACTTGGCATAAATCCCGATTCTATTTCCTTACATGAACATAGGAGGCACACCAGCGTGCTGACCTGCTGTATGTAAAACCTGGGCTTCAGGAAAGCCACACAACACAGATTATCTAATGGGCGCTTCCTGGGTAGCTTCCACGTCTGCGGCAGAAGAGGCAAAAGCAGACGCTTCCAAGCCCAGCCGCGCCGGGCAGGTCTGCCGGCAGGCACGGTCACTTTCTAGGTGGGGAGGACTGAGGCCTTTTAAGCCACAAGTGGTGTCGGCACGGTGTTCCTCCCACCCTCACTTCTGGACGCGGCAGTATGGGAAGAAGCTCATTTTCTGGAACGCGCGGCCTTCCAGGCGCGCTCGCTTCCCGCAGGGGGCGTCCCGTCTGCGATGCCTTTCCCCCTCTCGACGCCCCCGGCCGGGCCCTCGCCCCGGCCCCGAGTCCCCTGGCCTGGCCAGTCGTCCCTTCCCTCCCGGGAGCAGCCGTCCTACCAGAGACACCTACAGTCTAGCAGCTGGAAGGAACACCTCTGTAGTTTAACAGGCCCAACCACGCCCTTCCCCCCATCCCCCGCAAGAGGCGCGGCCGCTCGTTTCCAGGGCAACGGGACCGCCCCTCGCGAGACTTCCGACAGTCCTAGGAAATAACCTAGCGACCAGCGCGGAGGAAAAGAGCCCACGCGGGATTTCGGCCGAGGAAGGGGCGAGCCCAGGGGATGACGGGAACGAGGGGCTGAGGAGCTGGGGGCAGAGAGAATCCGCAGCTGCGTTAGGGTGGAGCGCGGGGCCTGGTGGGAAAATTTAGGAGTTGGGGAAGAGGGAGCAGGGCTTTGTCCCTCAGGTTCTGCACGTCGGTTGTTTATCATGTCCTTTCTCCGAGGAGGCAGTAGAGCTTACTGGTTAAGACTTGGGCTTTGTTGGTCTTTATTTGTACCCACACTGGGGGGCATTCTGCACGATTGTGTGACTAATCATCTTTATTCAGAAAACGAGACTTCTAAATAATTGATAGAGTGACAGATAATACTCAAAATTCTTATCAGCTCAGAGATTCTTTAAGTATCATAATTGTTAGCAAATGTATTGAACACCTATTACCTTCCGGGGCGCTACGTAAATCACTTTACATGTATTGTCTTATCTAATTACGTTCTTCCCATCACGGACTTAGACATTCTGGTCCGTAAGAGACTTAAAGACGAAATCATCTTGACTTCCCCCGGGCTTTTACGTCTGGTGGATAATTTAATATATTTGAAACAGCTTTCCAAGTGTAGCTGAAAAAAAGTCTTTAGCTATTTGGTGTGTATGGGAGGAAAAATTTTTACTCTTTCTGAGTTCTTTTGGCTGGTATATTCATTAAATTGATGAGATTCATAGGAGAAAAATAAGTTCAACTTCTTATGTTTGGACACCTCACAGGGACATGAGTGCCTCCAAGACAGGAGATTGAGGCTCATGTAATACCCTGAACTAAAGAGAAGGTGGGGCCTGGGGCTTCAAAGGGAAGGAAGACAATTCACAGGAAGATGGGAAGAGCAAATGCTTGGTAAACACATGTTTTGCCATGCCATGCCATGCAGAGACAGGGGACACAGAGAGGAATTTGAACAAAAACATGCCCTTACCAAGCTCCTTCTGGCTTGCTACACCTAGCCCATACTCTTTGTAGTTCTCTCCTGTGATAGCTGTTTTCCTGGACCAGGCACTCTTTCTAAATTCTTAGAGGCAGTTCAGGGGGAGATAAAAAGCTCTTCCTGAGTCTTTGGGCCTAGATTGTCTTCAGCTTCAAATAATCTGCACGCCAAGTGGCACATTTTGTGGATGTTAATTCTGAACCCCATCAGGTGCCTTTGATAGCTCTACCTTGTTTTATGCCATACATATGCAACACAAAGGTGACATGCACAGAGAATATTTAAATATGGAATCTATTTTTCTGTTGGATTTTAGAGTCAGGGTTGCAACCCATAGGGTGTCAGATATATAAGGTGAAGAAGCTCCAAGAAATTAGCTAACCAGATTACACAAGAAATCAAAGGCAGAGCTGGGGCTTAAGTCTCATGATTTTTAGCCTAAATATTTACATGATCATATTTCAAGTACTCCTATAGAGAAAAATTATTTTAGTGCATAAATAAATAGGAATTCAACAAAACTTTGAAAATCATGATCATTTATTCTTTCATTATTTCAACTAATTTTTATTGAATGCCTACTACTTGTCGGGGATTGTTCCCCTGTAAGGCTATTGGAGGAAACCAAACAGACAGTCTTCAGGGAGGTTATGGGAGAAGACAGACAAACCAATGGGAAAAAAAGAAAAACAACAAAAAACCAAAAACCCATTCAGGTGATGATAATTGCTATGGAGAGAAATAAAGGAGAGAAAAATAAAGAGCCTGGGAAGTACTCTAGGTGGGTGGGCCTTGGTAGGGGTAGCGCTCATTCCCTCTCTCTCTCTCTTTTTTAAAGATTTATTTATTAAAGGGAGGGGAGGGAAGGGGCAGAGGGAGAGGGAGAGAGGAAAGCAGACCCTGCACTGAGTGCAGAGCCTGATGTGGGTCTCAAACTCAAGACCCTGAGATCATGACCTGAGATGAAACTAAAAGTCAGATGCTTAACCTGACTGAGCCACCAAGAAGCCTCCCCCACCCCTTTTTAAAGTAAACTCTACATCCAACATGGGGCTTGAGGTCATGACCCTGAGATCAAGAGTCGCATGCTCTACTGAGGAGTCAGGTATTGCAGGGTACCTCTTTTGATAGGGTGTCCAGGGAAGCCTCTGTGACCAGGAGCCATCTGAGCAGACACAGAAGCAAAAGAATGAGCTATGTTTATGTGCAGGAAAACCTTGCCAGGTGGGGAAAGCAGCAAGTACAAAGGCTCTGAGAGAAGACCGGGTTATGAATTTTACTAGGTTATGAATTTTACTGTTTAGGTGAAGCTTAACTGGAGTATCATTTTTAGGAAAATTTCATTAGGATTTCCTTCTTAAGTAAATTTTAAGTTGTTTCCTTAAGTACCTGCTTCTTTTGAACTTTTTTTTAACTTACTCTATTTCAGATGGTAGTATATAGTGGAAATTCTTTGTCTTTAAGTTAGAGTGGAAGTAAGGCCTGGAGTAAGTTTCTCCGAAGGACTTTGTCGATCTGAATTTTTGTTTCCCTTCCCTATTATCTTATCTGAGCAGTTCACAGGACAGACTCCTTATATACACAGCTTTGGCTTCTTGACAAGGCAACTTTACTTCAGCAGCAACTTTCCCTTGTCCTATTTTTGGGGGAATTTATTTAGTCTAAGCCTGCAGTATAAAAGGCATTATAATAAGAGTAAGAAAAGAGGAAAAGGAAAACCAAAACAATACTCCAAAGAGCACAATAACTGGTGTGGGAATCAGGAGGAAAATTCACTTTAGCAACATGCCCAAATGTAAGTTGTGTTAGGAATGTAAGTTATTTTGTGTAAATATATCACTTGGACTTTGTTGAGCAGAGACTTAAATACAGTGACTAGGGCAATCAGAGTTATTTATGACATCACAGAATTTAGTGGTTATGTGGCTGTAGAGGTCTTGTCACAGTTTGGCTGAGGAAGCCATAGTAGGTCCTAGGAGTCCTGGGGTCCTCTAGTATACCCATCTTGGCTTTCCTCAGACTATCTGGGTCTAGAATGTCCTACCATTGGATCAGACTTCTCAAACTGTTTCCAAGTTCAAACCTTGAGATTTTTTTTTTTTTAAGATTTTATTTATTTATCTGACAGAGAGAGACACAGTGAGAGGGAACACAAACGGGAGAGGGAGAGGGAGAAGCAGGCTCCCCGCTGAGCAGGGAGCCCGATGCGGGGCTTGATCCCAGGACCCTGGGATCATGACCTGAGCCAAAGGCAGACGCTTAACGACTGAGCCACCCAGGCACCCCCAAACCTTGAAAAAAGATTTATTTATTTTGAAAGAGAGAGAAAGAGAGTGCGCATGGGAGGGAGGGGCAGAGGGAGAGGGAGAAAAGAATCCCAAGCAGACTCCCCACTGAGCTTGGAGCCTGCCGAGGGGCTTGATCCCAGGACCCTGAGATCTTGACTTGAGCCCAGATCAAGAGTCGGATGCTTAACTGACCGAGCCACCCAGAAGCCCCTCAAACCTTGATACTTGTCCCAGCCAATTAACTAACCAAGACTCAGCTCAAGGGTCATCTCCATAGTGAAGTCCTTTC